CGCAATCGTAGTCGGGGAAGGCGAGACCGCCCCCGTCGGCGCCGCCATCGGGCTTCTCGCTGAGACCGAAGAGGAAGTCGCCGAGGCCAGGGAAAAAGCCAAATCCACTTCGTCTTCTTCATCCCCAGCTGTTACGCCCACGCCTCCTCCTGCTACCGCCACTCCCGCCCCTGCAATTGCCCAGCCTGCTCCATCTGCTACTCCTACTTACACTGCCAAAAAGGGCGTGGCCACTCCTTTTGCTAAGAAGCTAGCCAAGCAGCACAAGGTCGAAATTGCCTCCGTGGTGGGCACCGGCCCATTTGGCCGAATTACGCCTGCTGACGTGGAGGCGGCCGCCGGAATTGTCAAGCCTGCTAAACCCGTCGCTGCCGAGCCCACTCCGGCGGCCGCTGCTCCACCCAAGCCTTCTGCTGCAGCCCCGCCTCTGCTTCCCGGCTCAACCGTGGTGCCATTTACCACGATGCAGGCTGCTGTTTCGAAGAACATGGTCGAAAGTCTCTCGGTGCCGACTTTCCGGGTCGGCTACCCGATTAACAGTGACGCCATCGACGCCCTTTATGAGAAGGTACATTGTGGATAGTGTTTGGATTAATTGGATTGTTGGTTTGCAATGTCATTTGGGTTTGATTAGTGTTTGAATTTCTGGGATTTTGGGGTGAATTCATTGAAATTGTCCAACAGGTGAAACCAAAGGGTGTGACAATGACTGCATTGTTGGCCAAGGCAGCTGCTATGGCACTTGCTCAGCACCCGGTTGTGAATGCGAGCTGCAAAGATGGGAAGAGCTTTTCGTATAACAGCAGCATAAACATTGCTGTTGCTGTGGCAATCAATGGAGGACTTATAACCCCTGTTCTTCAGGATGCTGATAAGGTGTGTTACTTGTGAATAATATATTATTAGTTGGTATTGTAGTGTTAGGATTTCGAAGGTGGTTGATGAACCATTACTAATCAACACCAATACTGTCCGCAACTTAACCATTTGTTTAGTCGGTGTGGGGTTTTATGTAAAGGCCTTGATGCAATTAGTAGCGGAACCTTTGTCTTCAAGATTTAGTGCTTCTGTTCTTTGTAGTTTGTGTTCTGATTATCGATGGTTGAATTGTATGTGTTTGTGCAGTTGGATTTGTATTTGCTATCCCAGAAATGGAAAGAGTTAGTGGAGAAGGCCCGTTCAAAGCAACTTCAGCCCCACGAGTACACAACAGGTATTTACTTACAAACTCTCTGTCAGTTCTTACGTATTTGCTTTCGTTTTATAATCATTAAGTTATATTGAACTCTTTGTAGGAACTTTCACCTTGTCCAATTTGGGCATGTTTGGAGTGGACAGGTTTGATGCTATTCTTCCACCAGGGCAGGTGAGTTTTGACCCTCTAATACGAGAATTTTTTGTTTTCATGAATTGATAGGATTGTTCTATTTTTTATGATTTTTTTAGCTGCTTGCTGAAGTTTTAATTGACAATCAGGGGGCTATCATGGCTGTTGGAGCTTCAAAGCCAACTGTTGTGGCTGATACAGATGGATTCTTCAGTGTAAAAAGTAAAATGCTGGTGAGTGTCTTTGTGTTTTCTCCGTAATGCATACTATTTTGTTAAAGTTGTTTCTCATACTTTACAAGGTTATAAGTTAAGTTTCACACGTATACAAGGGATGAGTCTGTTAAACGAACTTATACACAACTCAAAAGAATACTTCCACCAGTACATCAAACTTGTATAAATTGTCATGTCACATGCTTTACTGAAAGCAACTGTCAATTAATCTTGTTGGAAGAGGAAGGAAACAATCTTATATGTATGAACCTCTCTGTGAAAGGAGGGGAACACCCCTTGCTTCGTAGTTGATCTATTTCCAGAAACATCAATATGTTACATTATTGATTGGATTTAACATCTAGGTTCCTCAACACCGTATATTTTTCTTTTTTGTGCTCTATCAATCTGTTAGTTGACACAATTTCACTGAACCTGCTGAAATTTGTAGAAAAGGTAACCGAATTGAGCTGGCATATGGTTCTTTCTACAGGTGAATGTAACTGCTGATCACCGGATTGTTTATGGTGCTGATTTGGCTGCCTTCCTCAAGACATTTGCAAAGATTGTTGAGAACCCAGAGAGCCTCACATTGTAGTCGGTGTTTCAGGACTCCCAAGGATTGATGTTTTTGACCCTAAGCCTCTATTTTTCGTCAGTGACAAAGGAAGGGTGTGTCTATCGAACGGGATGCCCAACTAAGGAACACGCTCTTGCAGTAATTTCTTGCATTTTCTGCTTGTGTTGTACTTCATTTTGTTTTGAACTTTTAAGAATTTGCATTGCTTCGTCAGTCACTGTTGAGAAAATTTTGAAACAGGGAAATAGGAACTTTTAAATAGTTTGATAGAACTCGGTGAGGGATTGCTTGGGTAGAAAGTAAAAACCCGTCGCTGTGTAATAATATTCACCATCTCTAGCAGTTATAAACTTCTGATATTGCAGTCTAATTAATATTCACCATCTCTAGCAGTTATAAACTTCTGAAATAGTTCTCTTGTAGCAAGTTAAATAACGTTTATGTACAGACCCGTATTAGCAAAGAAGTAATCGTAACGAACTGTACGTTAACGTAGACACCTACTGAGATAGATGAAGACTGAAGTCACCAGTCCAAGGTGATGTTCTTAGAAAGGTATAGCCTGTCGATGTACTCGATCACCGGACGCGACGCTTGGATGTACCTTTTCATCTTCTTCTCTGCTGACTGATCTGAAATGAAATTGATTATATTTTAGAAATAAATAGCATGCAAAACTGGAGATCATTGGTTGTGGACGGAGAAAAGCTTTTAGACTTACGGGTCTCTTCGAGATTCACCAGCAGTTGATCCCTCGACGGAAGAGCATACATTCCGGCAGCAACCGCTGTCCTGATTGCCCAACTGTGGTACGGCGCACAAACTTTGGCATAAGCTGTTGAAGCTGCTTCCCTCAAAGAGTAGTCACTGAAAGGCAAAAGAAGGAAGAATGTCTAAAACCGAAAATCTGCAGAATGAAGCACAACTGCAGTTTGCACAACATATGTTTGAACATACTCGGTTGACAAGAATTGTTCGAATAGAGCTCTGATGAGGTCGAGACCCTGCCGGACACGGCGCAGATTACGAGAATGGCTTCCGGGGGATTTCACCGTGCCATTAGCAACATCAAAAGCTATTAGGCTTTCTAATGTGTCGTAAGTCCGTGACGCCTCCGCAAGATCTTTAACCTGAACGCAAGCGAGCACAGTGTGAGATCCTGCAGGAAGAGGCAGGCTAACTGAAGAGATTGCAACCAACCACAGTGAGATCTCCAAGATATGACAATACTTTTAGGGGCACACTATATTTAGGTATGTTAACGCTCTCGTTTGGAAGTGCAACTAAAAACATTTATAGTAAAATTTAGATAAAGTATTCTTTTGGAATCCATTTGAATTTTTATTGATGATTGGTTCTAGAAATATTTTCATCAAAAGAGTTTTAGTCATTTTAAAAACATTTTCAAACGAGGTTAAGTCACATTGTCACGTTGATTAATTTCACGAAGATCTCACCAACAAACCAAATCATACATTTAACAAAAAATGAACAATCGAAATCCCCCCCAAAAATAAAAAGATGCAATAATCAAATAAATACAAGAAAATTAAAGAAAATGAGAATCAGGGTTTGTGGTGGGAAGGAAGAAGGAAACCTTGGAGACGTACTCCATCTCGGCGAACTTGAAGGCGAGGCCAAGGCAACTGAAGAGGATGGAGACGAGGGTGGAAGCCTGGGAAAAGGTATCCAAACGCAACGTTTGGTGTTGTTTTTGTTGGGAATTATGGGAATGGGATTGGAGGATCTTGCCCAACTCCTCAAAGGCCTCAACGATTTCCGTTAGAGGAGGCGTCGAGGTCGACTCCGCCATTGCGATACCGTCCATGGCTCTGGTTCCGCCGCCGTGCTTCGCCGTTAAAATCATGCACAAATAGACACCTCCTCCCCGCACCCTAATATCAAACTAAAAACGAGCCAAAACCGTGTTTTGTTGAACAATCTTGATTTTGTTGCTTTTGTTTTTGGTTGAGTATTTTGTGTTTGAGAAGGAACGTAAGGATGTCGGGTTTGACCGTTCGAAGCTTCGCTATGGACGCGGCCTGCCATACTTTAAGGTAAAAAACGGATTTGGAACACATCCGGATTCTAACCGTGTGATTGCAAGATCTTTACATCTTAGTTATTTATCGTGCATCGTGTGGTTATAAATTATTTAATTATTTAATTTAAAATTAAACATAAATAGTACCTAACAAAAACTCATCATACGTTCCACGATGAACGGTTAGAATGTAAAAATTTCTAAAATCCTCACAAAATGAATTCGGAGATGATTATCTTCTGTAAAAAACAACCGCTTTTGTAAATAATCATAAATATTAATTAGAAAAAGGTGAAAAAAAAACACTTTTGCACGTCCAAGGCCAAAGTCAATCTCTTGTTCGTCTTTGTTATTGCCTTCTAGACGGTGATTACATTGGGCCTTGGTGCTTGTTTTACATCTTGAAGTCTGGTCCAATTTTAAAACGGGCTTGGTTCAAGGCCCTGTTAAGTCCAACTAAAGTTGAATCCAGCCCATATGTTATTTCCCTTTTTTTTTTTTTTTTTTGGGTGGAGGAGGAATCCTATGTTTTTTTTGTGTGTTGTTTGAAGTAAATTGAACATAAAATACATTGACCAAAAAGAACTAATTGAAGATACAGCCCAATGTTCTTTCCTACGGTTTAAAGTCGACTCGTATTTAAATCAATAAAATACTGTATTATTATTTGGTAAACAAAATATTATTCTTTTATCACATTTCTATTTTATGATATATAATAGATCATATAATATCCTCATATAATAATTTTTTTTCCAGTGCGACTGTTACATCATGTACATATGTTTTATATATAGTCAATATTTTGTGAACAGAAAAATTAAGAGGTCTTGGTTTAGTGGAGAAGAGTAGGAAGCACATTGTTCAAATTCATCTGCTTCCAAGATCTTAATATAAAGATCGTACAAACTGGATGTTTCATATATGAATTTATTAATCCAAAGTAGATATTCTTCTCATTTCTATACTCTAATGTACCAGCAGCTAGTTCTTACTAGCTATATTAACTCTGACTAATGACTAATTTAATTAATTAACCGATACTAAGCCAATTAAGCTTTATTGGCAAGCTCCACTTGATTTTCTCCAGACTCAGCACCTTTTTTCTTTACGATCTGAATCGGCTTAAACGTGTACATTTTGGCACAAAATAAGTAGTACATAAGATTAACAACTTGTAGTAACGTGATTAACCAGTAGAAGTACTCCAACTTCCCTTTGTTCAAATTATTGTCTGGCAGCCAGTTCGATCCATTAGGGCCAGCACTATACTTGTGCACCAGTGACACCAAAAGAGTGCTCACGTAGTTTCCGGCTGAGATGGAGGTCCAAAACAGCGCGGCAGCAGTGCTTCTCATGCTCTCCGGTGCCTGATCATAGAAAAACTCGAGGTGCCCGATTGACATGAATGCTTCAGCCATCCCATGAAGGGCATACTGAGGAACTAACCAAAACACTGAAATGGGGATTATATCATGAGGATGATCGACCAACCCGTGTGCGAAAGCTGCCTTTTTTCGCTTCACTTCGACAAATCCGGCGACCAATGTGGCGAATACCGAAATGACAAACCCTATTCCCATTCTGTGGAGGAATGTTATTCCCCGGTCTAGCCCGGTGAACTTTCTAGCCACCTTAATGAAGATGCGGTCGTACAAGGCGATCGTGGTGAGCATGGTTACTATGGTGAAGACTGACATGGAGCCTGCAGGGATTTCAAAGGACTTTGTGAGGTGCCTGTCCATGGTTTTGGCTTGGTTGAGTGAGAATGTGCTTTGTTGGGCATAGGCTGTGATGAGGAGTATTCCTGATCCCCATATAGGTCCCATTCTGATTATGGATTTCAGTTCTTCGACACGATGAACGGTGTTGATCCTCCATAGGTTTGGTGCCTTGAGATTGTCCTGCTCCGTTACGATCGCTGCCTTGTCAAGAAATCTGCATTATTTCACCATATATATGTAACGTTGTTAAATTGTTAAATTGTTAAACAGTCTATCAAGATAAGACGCTTATATCATACAAACAATCAATTTAATTAAACCTCAACCGTCCAATTATCGTGATATGAATTTTATCAAACCTAAACTCTCTGTATCAGTTAACCAATGATTGAGACTCGCACACATGTGAAGCTAAGTGCAGCCACGTTGTGGAAATTCAAAAGGTGACTAGGTCGCATGTTCTTCCCTTCTATATATTTGTTGGGTTGCTATGGACTGTGGAGGTGGGGACGACTCTGAGTCCCTGCTAATTAGTGGAGCAGATGACGTGAGATTTTTGTTGCATAGCAATGACAGAAACAGAAGCATGTGGTGCGGCTCATCCATGAAAGGTCAAGGGATTGTGGTCCCTACGTCCAAAACATGAGCAGTGCATGGACAAAATGATCTAGTTATTACCTGCAACCTGTTTCCACCTAATTAACCCTGATAATTATGTTCATCTTCTAGACTTACTATATATATGTATATGTGTATAATCTAGATTTTTCTTAGCAGGAATCCTATTTTATTGTAGTGGAAATAGGATGAGGGATTTTCGTAGAAACCATGTATTTTATCGTATAAGATTCTCATTATCTTATTTTCTTACTGCAAAACGTGATATGATTACGATAGTAATGTGTATATAATAATTATATTATTAAGTTTATGTTGTTAAATGATGAATTAGGACCAACATTTTGACAAAAATCAACTTAATTAGTGGTTTAGAGCCACAAAACACATGCAACATGAGGAGAGAGAAAGGGGGGGAGAGAGAGAGAGAGAGAGAGAGAGAGAGAGAGAGAGAGAGAGATACTTCATATGCTTAGTGTGAAGAAGCTTTCCACCCAATGAAATAGGACCGTCGAGTTCATCATTCTGATACAACATTCTAGGATCAGACACCATAGACAGCTTTCTCTTCTTATAGGCAGCCACCGCCACTTGTATCAACCGGGTAAACGGACTCCCCGCCGGATCCAAGTGCCGGTAAAGCGGGTACCCGATCAAAAACGCAATAACTGAGAGAAACATGGCTATAGTTGGAATTCCAAGTCCCCAACCCCATCCAATGTTGTCTTGAATATACACAAGCACCGTGACAGCCACTAGTATTGATGCCCCCATTGCAAAATAGTACCAGTTGAAGTAGTTCCACGTCTTGGTGGTTTGTTTTTCGTCGTTCTCGTCGAACTGATCTGCCCCGAATGACACCACGCAGGGTCGGATTCCGCCCGACCCGAGTGCTCCTAGTAAGAGGGAGACATACATAATTGCTAGCTGCCCCCCGTCGGCTTCTTCGCACACTTGGCCGTGGTTGCATGGGGGAGGTCTCAGTTGTGGAAGTACTGCTGATACTGTTAAGCAAATCATTCCCTGGTTCATTGATTAATTGAACAAACACAAAAGTTAATTGGAATTAGTATTTAATTAATAAACAAATAAAATTAACAATGTAATTTATCAATACTCTGAGAGCTTGATTGTGACAGAGAGCTAAAAAAATGGAGCTGGCTTCTCTCTCCTCCCACTTTCCGTACACTCTCATCCCTTCCTATTTTGTACGGTCACAGTTAATCCACGTCAACATTTTATATTGATTTTTATAAAAATAATAAGACAAAAAACAACCGTAATATAAAATATTGACATGATTTAACCGTAATTACACAAATAAAAGAGGATAAAAGTGTATGAGAAATAAGAGGGCAGAGAAGCCAGCTCCTAGAAAAATTCACCTCAATCATATTGGACAATGCTTTTAATACTTTTAAATTAAATACGTCCACTTGTGACATATTCTATTTCTTTCTTTTTCTTTGGAAAACCCATCACGAAAGGATGACTAGAAATTCTACCTAATTAATAAGTTTTTAATAAAAAATGGCTCGACGATAACTATTAATCTCGTGATGAGGAAGTTGATAAGAATCTTTATATTTTTTCATACAATAGATATTGGGTGGGCAAACCACAGAACTTTGGGTGCACGAGTGATCAATGAGTTGCAAATCTTAAGGTGTTTAATCAATTGAGCTGTAAATTTACGAGCGCATAATCTTTATCATGCGTGCTAATAATATATATATAGAAAACTATAGAGAGAGAGAGAGAGAGAGAGAGAGAGAGAGAGAGAGAGATTACAATCTGGTATATAACGGAAGCAACAGTGATAGTCCAGAAGCGGCCAACGTAGGCATCAGCAATGAAGGCGCCAAGCAAGGGGGTCAAGCTTGCAGTGCCAGCAACGTTGGTGAGGGTGTTGGCTGCTTTTGTTAAGGGCATGTGAAGCTGCGTTGTCAAGTAGCTTATCATATTTGCACCGAATCCCACCACAGCCAACTTCTCACAAATCTCATTAGCTACACACACACACGAAGCCAACAACATTGATAATTAAAATCCGTAAAACAAAAAAAACAAACAAATAAAGAGATACGTAATAAGAATTGAACAACGACAGGATAACCTATGCTAATTTCATCAAAAGTATGGAAAGAAAATTCGAATTTGCGTGTAAAAATATGAGCACATTGCTCTAACTAGCTTGACTACGTTCAAGCATGACTCAAAAATTTGAAACAACTAGATTTATTAGCTCTTACCAAAGATGAAGGGCATAGTGACCAAGCCTCCCTTTTTCCTTGCAGCATGGCTGCCTTTCTCCTCCATATGTTCCATCTTGTTTTTGGTGTCTCTCCTATACCGCTTTAAGCCTAAGTGGCCAGCGAAGCTCCATTATTTATAGGCAATGATATGAAGGAAAGGATAGATCTGGCAGAGTAACTTGTCAGCTGAGTTAAGCTTACTGTTTCATTTACATGTGACCATAGTTGTGTTCTTGTTAACTTTTTTGGGGTTCTTTTTGTTTTGTTTTGTGAGTGTAGGTGGGGTAGGCAAATTGTGGCCTATAAAACTTGGCCAAAAAATTATGGAGTGCGGAGATTTCGATAACTACTGAAACCAAGACAAGAGAAGGTAGGCATGTATGGACAGACGAGTACTCTAATTTACAGTTTTCACAACTTGTCTCATCCATTGAAACAAAAGAATCACTTAATACTATGATTTAATAGTATTTTTCTTCATTTGTAAATAAAAAATTTTAAGTTCGATTCTTATTAAAGTAAAATTGAACCACATTATTATGACAAACTCATTATAAAGCTTAACCTATTTCTTTATTCATTTAATACAAATATATCGTTTGTTAATATATATATGTGTGTGTGTGTGTATATATATATATATCAAATAGCTATGCATTGTTTAAAAGCGCCACTTCTATAATTGCTAAGTTAGATCAGAGGTGCAGGAACGCCTTAGGCACGCCCTTACTCTTTATTCCTTTCTAAATAATTTAGGCTTAAATGTTAGAATGATTCATGTGTTTTAGTTATTGGATTACTTTAGCGCATATGTTTTCAATTTGGCTAATTTGGTATTTGTGTTTATTTTGGTTAGCCAGTTAAAGACATTTTCATCTAATTTTTGTGAAAAAAATTATAAACTACTATAAACTTATTTATAAAATTATTTATTTGATTTGAAATATTCAAATATGAAATAAAATAAAAAATTAAAAGAAAAAATATTCTCCTCCTAACTCCCCGACCTTCTTCATAACGTTACCCCCTCTCTTTTCTATGTCACAACCTTAATCCTTTTTCAAATTGAAAGTTTGATCTCTTATATGTGTTATTTTTCAGATTTGTAAAGAAAAAAGGTAATTATATCTCTTATGATTTTTCTTATAAATTTTTTAACATAGATTGAATGAAATGTCCTTAATTGGCTAATAGGGACAAATATGAGGACTAAATTAGCCAAATCGAAAACACGGGGACTAAATTGGTCATATGGCTATAACACATTGATCATTATGACATTTAAGCCAATAATTTAGTATTACACTGGCTTTTTTCCGGTGAACTTAGTGTTATATTTTTTTAGTTTACACAAAACTTATAAATTGTATTCATTAATAGTTAAAATAAGAGGTATGTTTTCCCGTTCAATCCCAACAACACTCGTCCTAAAACTGAATTTAACATTTTTTTTTAATAAACAATATTATCTACACTAAGGGGAGGGAGAGGGCTTAACCTCACAATGAGTTAACAATAATGTGGTTTGAATTTGCTTTTGGCGAGAATCAAATTTAAGACCTATCACTTAAAAAATTATTAACTCTTAAAATTAAAGCCTAAAGTCTGATTTTGTTTTATCAAAAATATTCTTTACATTTCTAATAGAAGAATAATACACTTTGAGCTTTCATCTCCCCCCCCTATTCTTGAAATTTCATATATTTTATCCTCTAAATTCCCAACCCACAACACTATTAAGGTTTTTAAATCTCTTTGTTCTCTCTAACTTTTTACTAAATTTTTGCATTTCATATATTTTGTTCTCCAAATTCCCAATTCATTTTCTATTGACTTGGGTGATGATAGAGAGACCATCTACTTAGCCATTTTTTGAGACCACATGATAATTGTAATACCCTAGAAATATTTAAAATATATGATTGAGTGAAAATTTTTATCGGAAAGTGAAATGACAAAAATGTCCCTCATTGACGAAACATAATTATACGCAGACGTATTTTAACCTTATATATTATCGTATTTCTTGGCATATTTGGATAGAGCTCGACCTCATGAACGCGTAAGTTTGTGAAACGAAGTTATAACGAATGAGATATGAACAAGCAAAGTTAGGGGGTGAAATGGTCATTTGACCATAATCTGGATTTCTCCAAAAATTGTGAGGTGCCACGTGTATGGCAGTGACTGGAAGAGAAACGGGCACTGCCCAATTAGAAAAGAGAAGGAGGAGGGAAAGGAGAGAACAAGGAAATGACAAGGAAATGAGGGGGAAATAACCGGGTCACCCTCAACCCGTATGACCAAACATTTGACGTCGATTCTGGCGTTTTCCCTATGATTTGGGTGACTCCACCACTACTAATCCACTCCTCGTCGTCCCAACTTCCATTCCCACCCAATTTGGATTGCTGTGATTGAGGTTTAGCGACGAACACTTGTCGTCTTCTCTAACGAGTTTGAAGACACCCACGGCGGCAATCTGCCTGATTCTGAAGCTACCACCATGGGTTGATTCCTCATGAACCCATGAAAATATCCTAAGCCTTGATTAGGGCGGCGGAGCACCGGAGATGGTGGATTGAGGCCACCAAATTTCTAGGGTTCTGGGGTTTCGAGGCAAATTGGCGTTTTTCCCGGCCAAATTGGACTTGGCCACATGTATAAAGCTTGTTGTACACCTCGAGATCTTCATTTCTATAATTTTTGAGAATTTTTAGAAATAGTTGAAATTTTCCGGTGACTCGAGGCCCCAACCGGCGCCCACGGCAGCGCGTGGTCAGAGGGTCGTCGATGCTATTTTAAGGCTAAATTAGATGCCTTGAATTCAGTTATTATATCCGGATGATGTAGGTTGATTGTTTGAACCTAAATACACCACGATACGTTACTAGGTCATTATATGAACAGACGATCTGACCATTAGATCATCACCAAACTTTGAGACCTTATCATGCGTAATATTTGAGGACCTTAGGAACTTACTGATCTGGAATCAAAAGTACGGATCTTCCAGAATTGAATTTGCAAGTTGGTAAAATAAAACGTTGACCGCCACTTGATTTCATGATTGGCAGAGATCCGACCGTTGGATCATAATGAAATTTTAGTATGTTGTTCTAGAAGTGTAATGTGAACTACGAATGGCTTGATCCCTTTGTAAGGTATGTAGACAGTCTAACCAGGATGTTAGATGCTGCCATAAAATACTCCAAAATTATTATTGTGCTAGATTTCTTTTAAGGAAAGAAATTATTATAGTTAATAGCGTGGAAATTGGTCATGAATTTATTTTAGCCTATCATCAGATTTTAACTTCCAAGTAAGAATTTTTGGGTCGTTACAATAATATAGCGGATATGGACTACTTCCTTAAATCATTAACGAAGGAATCGAATCATCAACTGCCACATCATGTGGTTTCCAAATATGATCTAAAAACATGGTCTTCCTAGCATGCATTTTTTATTGACTTGATATTGGAAGGTTAGTTTCTCTTAATCCTCCTTAATTTTTTATTGATAACTCTCTATATTGACTTGATATTGATATTGGAAGGTTAATTTCAACATGGAAAAAAAGCATTTAGCACCTCAAAAAATTTAATTAGCTCACAACTCCAAGCATGTATTATACACTCTTGTAAATACTATCTATTTATTTTAGTTCTAATTTAACATTTATGTGAGATCCCTCCTCACGTAATTTATGAGCTTCGCCACTAAGTTAGACTAAAGGAGGAGGAAGGAGAGAAGAGTTTGGGTTCGAAACACAATTAGACTAACAAGAGAGTTTTTTTATCTATCATACTAGTCCACCACTAATATGCCTCTATTCTTATTTGTTTACCCGTGAGGAGGAAAAGATATTTAACATACAAAAATATGAAGAACGAAAATTGCTTCAAAAAGGTACTGAGAGAAGCAAGAATCTCTTATATATAAATATTAAGGGGTTTACTACTACCACCGTGGACTGTTTTTCAGAAAACGGATTCGACTCCTGGGCTTGTTAAAGTTTTATATTTATTTATTTTTTGTATGCTTTTTCCCAATCATTTGCATTTGGAGACTATACTTGCATGGTAACATATTTAATACAAATTATAAAATAAAAATCATCACGTTTACATTTATATATATGTGCATGTGTAATATTCTTGGCTGCCTCCCTAGTACATGGAATCTTTTTTATTTTATCTGATCAGATTTAATTATAAATTATTGCAGGTCTTGGCGTTGTTCACATTTTTAACACATAGAATTAATGATTTGTTGAATTAATTATTTTCTTCAGTAGTTATCGGCCCTCTTCTTCCCCTCAAAAATTATTTTATAATCAAAAGATATTCTCGACAAAACACGTAGACGGTAACACTATACACTTAAATATGCTCAAATCAGTTCAACTTTAATCGAAGACGAGTTCAACTTTAATCGATTCATTATTCACATGGACCGCAGAATAATCATAGAAGTCAGTTTCTTGTCTCTGTTGGCTTATACTACACCGCAGAATCTTGCCATCCTCATCAATATCTTGAACATCATTATTAACCAACTAGTGGTTGTTATACATACTGTTTGGACCCAAATTTATGCTATCGGCCCATACAATCAAGGCCGTTAGATGAGTAAAGTTCTAGACTGTTGAATGATAAGGTGGTCGAGATAATTTTCAATTATTATTAAGAAATAATATTATGGTTTTAATCATAATATTATCTTTTAATATATATTGGATTATCTAAGCCTAATATTGGCTATATCTAGCGGATCGTTTAAAGATAAATGGAGAAGCAAATCATATTTCCAGCAGAAGTACATTTCAAACGGGTTTGAGATGTTTGGTACGACCCACGAGTCATGATCACCAAAATGGCCTGCACCTTTGGAATTTGAGGGATTTTTTTTTAAGGTGCCTTTTTTATGGCCAAGACCTATTGGAATGAATGCCTAAGGGATAGGCTTGCATGCTACTTATCTGCATGCTTTGGTTCCAGTGCCGTGAAGCTTATCAAATTGGCTAATGCATGCTAATTGTTTGCATGAAGTAAAGAGATAATGATGATATCTAAAAGATAGGTTGTTGCTTCCCTTGAGAAGTCTTTGACCTAGACTCTAGCTGATG